TGACCTTTTCTGCGCGTTCAAGAACATTTTCTGACTATGATTCCCTTTGTTCTAGTTTTATACTATGTTCTTCTTGGCTGGGTTCTTGGTCTGCCATGAGACCTAGTCATGTCATGCCACTTCTTTGTGTATGCTCACTTTGGCAAATTCAGATGGACTTTCTTCTGAGAGCCAAGGGCATAAATTATATCCTAGCTTGCTTCATTGTTCTTTAGTTGTTTCACTCATAAATGTAGAAATCTTGCTTCTCTGAATGGCACGAACTCTTTTGCCAGTTTTTTCATAATTCTATTTTGGTCTAGTGTAGCTCAGTGATAGAATGTTTGCTTAGAATGCTTAGGGCCCTGGGTTTGATCAACAGTGCAACAAGGAAAGTCTATTTAATAGGCCTTCTACACTATATGATAGTAAACTCAGAAATATAAAGAATTCAAATAATCTCAACTTTTTTTTTAAGGTCAATCATTTTATTAAAAGTTAATATTAAAGGTTGTCTGTGAATCAGAGAGAAGGGGTGAGAGAGAATAGCTGATCCCTGCATTCTTCATAACTAATCATGGGTAGTAAGACTGAGAAAGTTAAAGCTTTCATAAAAATGAATTATAGAAGATTCTTCCTCACAGGGAGGACTGATATGCTTAATCATTTTCCCTAATGTAACAACTGAAATATGGCAGAAATTTGAAATTTGTATGTAGAGGTGACAAGGAAATCAACAATAGTTCATATAGTTCATATACTGTATATAAACTTCATCTACAAATAATCCACCACACATAGCTACCACATGTAATATATTAAAAGTAAATGTCTAACATATATAGTATATATTATAGTATACATAGTATAATACATATATATATACTATATATATAGTATATTAAAAGGAAATGGATAAAGTAATAGAATAGTACTAGTAAACTTGACAAGTCCATATGTTTAGTGTCCAACACACATACACTCTCTCACACACAGAGGCAAGTGAAAAGTTTTTTAACTATACTGTGAAATAGCCGCTCAAATTAAAGCACACCTGTTTGTACTTATAGCTAATGTGTGGGGAATTTACTGATTCTAGATTCATCCAAAGGCTCTCAAGGGTGCTTTAATCCAGCTTTTTTTTTTTTTTTTGGTGCCAGTCCTGGGGCTTGAACTCAGGGCCTGAGCACTGTCCCTGAGCTTCTTTTGCTCAAGTCTAGCACTCTACCACTCAAGTTACATCACCAGTTCCGGGTTTTTCTGTGTATATGGTACTGAGGAATTGAACCCAGGGTTCTATGCACGCTAGGCGAGCACTCTACTATTGAGCAACCTTCCCAGCCCTTTAATCCAGTTCTAACACTGAAGATAAAAAAGTGTTTGTTCTTCATGACTTACTTTTTACAATGTTGATGATTAGGTCTATATCTACTATTATAATGATAGAAATGTCTATCTTTACATGAGTAAACACAAAGTCACACCAGACCTTAAAATCTACCTTTTGGGGTACCAATTTATAAAGTGAACAAAATGTACTCATAGATTTGTTTGAACAAATCTGGGAACTTAGCTATCATGTCAAATAATTGAACAATTTGATAAGCATAGCTCATGAAAAAATAAAATATTAGTAGCCAGGCACCAGTGGCTCACAATTGGAATCCTAGCTACTTAGGAGGCTACGATTTGGAGGCTCCAGGTTTAAAGCAAGCCTGAGAAAAATGTCTTTGAGATTCCATCACCAAAATAAACATCATATAAAAACAGGTTCAAGTGGTAGAACACCAGTTGAGCAAGCTCAAGGCTTTGCATTCAAGCCCAGTGATGCAAATACACACACACACACACACACACACACACACACACACACACTTAAATAGACTGTATTGCTGTGAACTGGTTGATTCTAATGGTTAATTCCAACTAAGTAGCAATTTGACACCTTATATAAACAGTGTAGAACTGTTAGAATGGTACGTCATCTAATTGTGATGATAGTCTCCCAATTATTTTCACTTCTCCTAGTCATATTTCAAAACGCACACCTTATCATTCCCTTAACTCCTATCTTCTGCAATATTCTCCAAAGTTTCTAAAAAAATGAGGCAAAGAAAGCTTTTGTTTGCACCACACTATATTTATACAGTGAGAATTTGCAACTGTTGAGACTTTTCTTATTATGGTTGCTTGATTCTATTAAGTTTTGCAGCAGTGACAATGAAACATTATTATAGCTATGATAGATTAGTATTTGATGTCTAACTTAACCAAAGCTGAAAGGAAGAAGAAAAGATATAAGAAAGGATTTCTCATGTTAACACTAAGAAGCTGAAAATTAATTCACCAGATTCTAGTGTTTTCATCCCTGTAATTCACTATCCTATTAAGAGAGCAGTTTTAACCAATTCCTTCCTTTGAAATGATCCCACTTTTGTACCAGAAATCTTTCTTACGATATATGGGGATTTCCTTTCCTTCCTTCCTTCCTTCCTTCCTTCCTTCCTTCCTTCCTTCCTTCCTTCCTTCTTTCTTTCTCTTTCCTTCCTTCCTTGCTTCCTTCCTTCCTCCTTGCTTCCTTCCTTCCTTCTTTCCTTCCTTTTGTTTTCTTTCTTCCTTTTTTTAATGAGTGTGTGTGCGTGTGCACGTGGGTGCAGGGGTGCGTGGGCACGCGCATGCAAGTGTGGGTGTGCGTGTGTGTGCCAGGACCAGAGTTTGAACTCAGGCATAGAATAAAATCTTGCTAGGCTTTCATGTTCACAACTGGCATACTACTAGTTGAGCCACATGTTTAGTGCGGCATTATGCTGTTATTTGAAAATGAGGTTTCACAGAGTTTTCTGCCCAAGTTTGCTTTGACCTATGATTCTCTAGGCATTAGCCCCTTGATTAAAGCTAAGATAAGGTAAGATTTAAAACAGATTTCCTGCAAAGAGAATCTATTTTGAATTTGAGAAGTTCTTCTTTTTGATGTGACCACATGTGGAATTTAAGGTCAATGCTTTTATGAGAAATGACCAACTGACAAACTGCTACATACCAGTAAACATCTCAGTGAGGCTATTAATTGAAATTAAATAAGACTAGTTTAAATTCAATCTTCTTCTACGTGGACATTCTTTTCTGTCAGTACTGGAGACTGAAGTCAGGGCCTTGAGCATGCTATATAAGTGCTCTACTCTTGAGCAGCAAGTCCAGAGTGAACAGGCCATCCTAAGTCAAGACTGAAATGTACTCTTTCTGATGCACCCATACTGAATAGTATGTGAATTAAATTTTCCAAAGGGAAAAAATCATTGCATTGTTTATTTTGTACACAAAAACAAAACAGAGGAGGAAACAAGGATTATGAATCTGATGAATTGTAGAGGCAATTATTCCCATGCATTTTACCCTAGGATAGAAATTGTGTGCCAAAGCGAACTCACAAGTGTAAGACTCAGAAGAGTGTTGTGAAAATCTGAGATATTCTGTTTGCCTTTGAAGTTACATTCGTTTCTGTAAAATGGATTTTTTAGAGCTCTTTTTTCCCCTTCTGCTTGCCACTTAAACAGTCCATTCCTCAACTGTAGGAATTAATGTCTAAACTTGGAGTGGGTTTTGATATGCCCGGGATGATGACATCAGCCAGTTCCTGGAACCCAGAGCTGTAATCAGTGACTTGTCGGTAGTCGGGTCCTCAGATAACTCTCTCCTTGCAACTGTGTCACTGATTTAGGGCCAAGTTTGTGTTCAAAGCTGTCCCATACTAACTACACATAAGGATCCTTCCATACCTGCTTTGAAAGTCAGAGGAGGTTGGAAGAAACATTTTCTCTATTTTAAAAAGACCAGAGATTTAAAACTAGTTATACTCCCATAATATCACTGCCCTCAATGTCACTAAACCATGCACTTAACAATGGTTAAAATGGTAAATTTTATATTATGTGTATTTTACCTTAATTAAAAAAAAACTGATGTGTGTAGGTTCTTCAAACACTGCCTTTGTTTTTCAGTGGTTCTGCTCAGCGGTGTAATATACGTGCAGGCCTTCAGTATATAACAGGTTATAACGGGGATTGTAAAGGGGTCATTCTTTCTGTAATATCTATTAAGGTAAGTCACTTGTGAACCAAATAATCACCCATCCTGGTGAAATTACTGAACAACACATACCCACAGAAGTTTCTAGCGAAAAAGAAACAGAACCAAAACTCAGATCATTTAAGAGCTGGAGTTTTGGAGCCTGTGAAAATATCTATTGCTCCCAGGTCACTTCATAGTTTTGCTGGCGTGGGGGTCTGGACAACGCGTACCTTCTCTGCTTGAATTCTCTAAAACCCAGCACTTTTGGACAATGGAAAAACAAGCAAACAAAATAGCAAATGCAGGCCAGGGGGACTCCTGGTATGCTAGGTCTCCCCACTGACTGAGTGTGGGCAGAAGCACTTCCTAGAGGGTCAGGCACACGCCGCCAAGGGGCTGAGGCTGACCTCTGCAGCCTCTCCATCTTTCCATTTCCTGCCCCCCAGGCAGGAATGCATCCAGAAGTAAGGTTCACCCTCCCTGAGCAGCGAGGGCTCATAGATGGCCAGAGGGCGGTTCCTGTTTGAGGTGGCAGGTAGGTTATTTTGCAGGGTGCAAAATCACCCTAACGGAGTGGTGTTTACAAATAAAGAGAAAACAGTACCAGCCACCACAGCACAGCGGTCATCACCATTCCTCTCCTAATGCGCCCGGGGCAAACTATGCCGGCACAGGCACTAAAGTGCAACCTGTGTCTCCCCCACCCTCCCCGGATTAGAGACAATTTAGCAAAGGCCAAGTGTGCAGAACCTGTGCGTAATGCGATGCCTGCCAGACACACGGGCGCTGTGGGCAGCTCAGCAAGAAGCTCATCTCTGCAGATAGAACCAGGATAGGGCAGGATTCTCCCTAAGGCTCTCAGCTTGCAAACCCATTCTCGTGGGCGCGGCCATGGGAACGACGCCTAAAGCCAGCATCCCTCCGCCTTTTCCTATCCAGGAATTCCGACTTACCAAAAGCGGAGACCAGCAGACGGACAGCACGCACATGATCCCCATGAGCTGAATGGCCGTCTCGGTTGTGATCCGGCCCCACTGGGAACTGGACTGCGAGACTGCAGCTTTGGCCCGGCAGCGGGACACCAGCGCCTTAATGGTGGCCAGGTTGCAGGCAAATGTGACTGCCAGAGCCAAGAGCCCCAGGAAGGCGAAGGTGGAGGCGAAGACAAGGTTGCCCCAGTCCTGAGAAGAGTTAGTTTCATTGCTCCCTTGCCCGGTGCTGATGAAACACCAAGTCCCGGGCCACTGGACGGTGTACTGACCCACGCCCAGCACCGGCAGCAGGGCGAAGGCGAGCACGGCCAGCCACACGCCCAGCAGGACGGCGCGGGTGGCGCGCGTCTTCATGTGGCTCGCATACCAGTGCGGCGCCCGAATGGCCAGAGCCCGCTCGACGGCCATGGCGCTGGCGATGAAGAGCGAAGAGAGCCCAAACACAGTCATGGTCAAGCCGAAGAAGGTGCACAGCCGCCCCGACGGGTCGAGCTGTTCCCAACGTTGTTTGGAAAGGTACACGACGATGACCACGGGGCTGGTGAGCAGCTGCCCGACTAGATCCGTGAGCGCCAACCAACCGATGCACAGCAGGAAAGACTTCTTGCGCTTGCTCTCCCGCCGCCGGTAGCTCCGAGACACCAGCAGCATGGCCAGCGCGTTGCCCACGAAGCCCGTGATCATCATGGTGATCGGAAAGGCCACGGACACCGATCCACAGTCCTCGCCGGGCCCCGGGGAGCGGGTGAGGTTACCCCGCGCCTCGGTGGAGCGCTCGGGAGTCCACATGCCCGGGTAGGAATGGTTGAAGCGGGTGCAGAAAGGGGCGCTTCCGCCGTCGCCCCGGGGCGCCTTCATGTTGGCTTCGAGGCGAGGAGGGCAAGGCACGGAGACAGTTGCACGGAGAGCTGGTAGACGGGGCACGAGCGATGGCAGAGGTGGGCGGCCACCCGGGCTGGGATTGGGCTGCGCTCCATGGTGCGGGCGCGGCCGCCGCCTGGCTCCGCTGCGCTGGCAGCTGCAGCCCCGCTGCAGGGGGCTCCAGGCGACCCTGGGGAGGAACGCGCGATCGGCTCTGCGTAAACCTCCGGCCAGCAGGCGCGCCCCAGCGTCCCCACCGTCTATAAGGCCGAAGGGGCGGGGCGCCGTGGGTGTAGACAGAATTAGGTGGGAAGAGGGCGGAGAAGCAACCGAGCGCCTCCCCAGGCACTGGGCCACCAGGGCTGGGTGAACCTTTAGGCGCTTCTTCGGGAAACGCCCCCGTTCCTGGCGGGAAGCGACACCCACTTTGCCTTCCAGAGGGAAGTGGTGCCTCCCACTGGGTGCTGGCAGTGTGGGCGTGGGTGGGAGCTGGTTAAAAAGCCTTCCCAAACCCAGCTCAAGCCACCAGGGGTTACCTGGGTGCCCGCCTTTCTTGTCTATCCATGGACGCGCAACCAGGGAAGAGATCCTTTTCCTTGAGGTCTTTCTATCCCGTCCTTAACCAGCTAATGAGCAAGGCACACTCGTTTGCACTGCAGTTTCGTTTATTCAAAAATTCCCGTTTGAAATGGAATGGTAGTGAAAAGGCGAAACTGTTCCCTCCCTAATCCGATCGCCACTGAAACTGTACAACGAAAAGATAACGCCTAGCCCCGCATTGGTGGCTCACGCCTGTATTCCTAGCTACTCAGGAACTGAGATCTGAAGATCAGGGTTCAAAGCCAGCCTAGGCAGGAAGTCCGTGGGACTATTTCCAATTAACCACAGGAAGGAAGGAAGGGAGAAAGGAAGGAAGGAAAAGGAAAGAAAGAGAAAGAAAAGCAAGCCGAAAGTGAAGCTGTGGTTTAATGGTAGAGGGCTAGTTTTGAGCTCAAAAGCTCAAAGGACAGTGCCAAGGCTCTGAGTTTAAGCCCCGGGGCCAGTACCAAAGAGGGGCTGTGCGACCGGGGCGGGGTGGGGGGCGGGGATGGGGGAGGGATGTCTGGAGGGAGAAAGAATGCCTGGAGATTTAAGGAATTCGATTTAGGCAAACAACAACAAAATAGATTAAGTTAAAGACTAAGAAATCCCGAGTCTCATTTAATGTTGTCCTCTCGTCCCAAAAGAAAGTCATCGGAGTCCAAAGGCACTCACAAGGGGGCCTGTGATAGATAGATAGCCTCTTAGTAACTGACATAGTCCCAGGTCTGACAAAGGCAGGAGAGGGAGGCTCTTCCTCGGAAGGTCTTCATCTTCCTCTTCTTGCTCATTCTCTTACCTTTAGAATTAAAAAATGAATTTATTTTGAAGGCCTTTCATACTGCCTTCGAAATCAGGCAAAATCTAGGCCGTCTTATTTTCATGATACATTGTGAATATTCGGGACTGTCTTTTCATTTTATTGGAGATCCTCCAAATTACTATTGGTATATGGATTGCTATCCTTTTAGGTGATGTTCCCGAGACTCCATGAAGTTAGAGTCCCAGATTTCTCAGCAATTTTCCCAGTCTCTTTTTTGAAGCATGCTCTTGACATCATTTCAGCTACTGACATGTAATGTAGAGCCTAATTTTCTGAATCTGGGAAGATTTGTGTTTTCCTTTTTTTTCTGTCCAGATTGTCCAGAAAAAATGAAAATATTTTAAAAAACTATTTACAAACTTTGTTTCATATTTAAAGAATCAGACCTAATCATGAACTATGAAGACCATGATCTAAGAACAAGCCTGGCCAGCTTTTCTGCCTTGCTTAGCGCCTTGCTATTTTATTTGAGTGTAAATGGGTATAAAGAGATGAGATTGAGGTATGGCTTTCTTCATTGTTTTTGTGCTGTTTTGCTAAAAAAAAAAAATCATAGAGTTATATGATGTTCAAAAAAAGGAAGGCACAAATAAAATTCAAACTACACTATAATGGCTGCATTAATCACAATATTAGTTTGCTGTTATTAAAAGCTTTTTCACTTCTGAGTTTATTAAGCTGTCACATCTACAATGGATATGGTTTTAGTTTAAAATCTCCTCCAAACTTTTTTTTTCTTATTACTCTAAATGCTCATCTCAAATTCATGACTGGGAGAGTATTTTTATTTATAATAATTTCACTTAGAGCAGTATTTTATCTTATTCTTAGATATCAGAATAAGCATTTGGATGAATTCTAGTGTAACTTTTAAAAACTTAAAAGCATTTCACAGTTCCTATAGCAAAGCAAATCACGTCTTTTAGTTGTATGAAACTAGTTTTTGGGTTTTTTTTTTTTTTTTGCTCAAGGTTAGACACATTCCCATCCCCACATTATGAAATTTTTAAATGTTTTTTATTGTGAAAATACTGTACAGAAGGCTTACAGTTACATGAGCAAGGTAATGAGTACATTTCTTATCAAGCATTGTTGCCTCCTCTTTTGTTTTTCCCTTACCATCCTGTGTGCTACAGTCAGTTCTACTCTGTAAGAATGACAAGCAGGGCTGGAAATGTGGCTTAGTGGTAGAGTGTTTGACTAGCATTCATGAAGCTCTGCCCTATAAACAAAAATAAATAAAATAGATTTTTTTCTCAAGCCAAAAATGTTGCCTCTTTTCCAAACATATATATTTGCATTTTTTACTACAAGGATCTCTCATTAAAAGATTTTCATTAAAAAAATGACAAGCATCAAGACATGCCTGTATTAGCAAAGAGTTAAGTAAGTCTCTTATTCACCTAGATACATGTGCATTAAATGAGGAGCACTTTAAGTCTTTCATCATTATTTTCACCCTAGTTTTGAAGCTCTTTGCCTTGTAAGCAGGTACTTTGAGGATTTGAGGAGACACACAATATAAAGTTGCTAGTTAGATTCTGGTTCCTACTTTTTACTGTTACAAAAAAAAAAAAAAAAAAAAGCCTGTACTGTATTGATCTGAAACAACACTCCCCTCTAGTGGCTAATAGCATGCAGTATACTATTTAAAGAGAATTTATAACTGTCTAGTTTTTGTTCTTTGATTTAATGTTTTTCCTAAAAATCTACTTATCAATATATAATCACAAACATTTTAGTTTCCTTTACGTTAATAAATTTTGCATTTCCAATTAATCGAGATTATATATTCATTTAAAAATTTTGAAACCTCCATTTACCTATGATATTTTAAATTCTGTTGTAGAAACCCATATATATGTGATAGTATTAGAGTTTGTAGTCAGGACTTCACACTTGTTAGGCCAGCGCTCCACACATGCAACTACTCCACTAATCCTTATCATGCTTGTTGTTTCTTGGGTTAGGCTCCTGCTTTAAGCTAGAGCCCGCCTGGACTGCCATCCTATTTGTACTCCCTCATTTGAGATGACGGGTACATGCAACTGCATCCTGCCACTGACGAATATGGAGTTTTTCAAACTTTGTGTTACCTGGATTGACCTCAAGACTCAATCCTCAATCTCTTCCTCTCAGGTAGTTAAGATTACTGGTGGCTTGAACCACCACATTTGGCTTTGCTCTAGAAATATTCTGGAACACAAATTAATTGTATTACTTCTGTATTTTACAATTCTAAATTTACAACACATATCAGTATTTAGTGTTGAATTTATTTTGCTATTTACTTCCATTGAACTTTACTAACTTTACCAACTCTTAAATGAAAATACAAAAGGATATTGCTAACAAGTTTCATGTAAATATTCCATTCATTGTCTCTTTATTGGTAGCAAGTATCTGAGATTCTTTCTCCACAGTCAGTGTGAAGTATATATTCGAATCTTTTGTTTATGCAACCAATACCTATTGAGTACTTGTCTCTTTTAGACACCAGTTTAGTCCTGGGCGACACAAAAGCAAAACATAAAAGTTTATGGAGTTTATATTTTAGTGTTAATATTTTGATTTTCAAAAGTCCAAATAACAGAGAAAATAACACTGGTTATGATAATTTTCTATAGAAGTAGTATGTGAAATACCATTACATGAAAAATTTGAAAAAAGGTAGTATTTTCATAATCAAGTGGAACTTATCTCAGGAATTTAAGGTAAACTTAACATTCAAGCATCTGTAAATACAATCACCATATTAACAAAATAAATCGTGAATTCACAAAATGAATTGTGAAATATCTGGGTAAATGCAGAAATTATATATGGCTGTCTTTTCTTCCTATTTGCATATCTAGCAATTTGTTGAAACCTGGAATTATAGTATATTGTAGTGACAAAATTATACCATTTTCTTGAGGATTCTTGAATCTATTGACAGTTTACCTGGGTCTATTCAAACTGCCAATTTTGCCTTTCCTGTGGTACATTGGTCTCTCTCCTCTGTTATGTTTTCATGGTTGCTCTTTAAGCTTTATTCCCGGTAGAATGATCTCTTACACCTCTTTAACTTGCTGGCCAGTCAGTGATGAGGATTGCTTTTCTGTAGTTTCCTTTGCTAGAGAGGATTGACCATATGGTTGGTGGTAGACACAGGGATGGGAAGGAAGATTTGGAATTCTATTTGAACATTTTGAGGTGTCTTTGAGCTGTCAAAGCAATTGGACATGTGAGGCAAGAGTTAAACAACTGGAGGCTTCAGAGACAAGAGTTTAAGGCTGGGTGGGTCCTGCCATTTTGAGTTTGGGCAGTGTATTTTCTATCACACAAGGTACTCACACTGAGAAATGTACTTTTAGGTAAAGCATCAACACTTTAGATGTCCTCTTGAATAAACATATCTTTTGAGACTAAATCTTGTCCGGTCTGATCTTTGCTTTTCTCTCAGGCTCTCATTACAGTTTGTGACAAATGGATTTGGGCAGTTCATCTCATGCCTTCTATGGTTCTCATTATCAGAATCTCCTGCTTTAATTTGAAGTGGCTTATTTCCACCCTTGTCTTATTTCCAATCTTTACCACTTTTTGTTAGCAAAGCTGAGAGTTTTCCTATAGCCAGATTAGGAAGGCTGGGATGTAGTACTCTCAGCTGCAAAAAACTAAACCAAAATAAACTAACCAACCAAAAGCTTGCAGTTGTGTTTTCTACTTTGATTCTGATGTTTGGTTCCCACTGAATTAATAAGAATTAAAGATGTTCTATATTTGAAATTTTCACATTTTATTATCTAGAAGGTAGTGTGATTTTGGCATAAAAACAGACAT